GTCTGTGTCCCAGTTACCTAGATCTTAGGTAACCTGAGCTCTCCCTGCTTAGGATGCCCTGGGTCTCTCTGGAGAGTGAGGTTCATTTGGGGGTGGCTCCCATCTCACCCCTCAGATGAAGTGAGAGTTGAATGGATCTTCAGTCTCCCCCCACCCACTCTAGTGGCCCAAAGCAGGGCTAGGGCAAGAGAGAGGCCAGCAGGTGCCCAGGACACAAGATTAGGGAGGTTGGGAGCAAGTGCCCCACTCTGAATCACTGGGGAGGCTTTGTCACGTCACATGGCTGCAGGGCTGGGGGAAGGCTGACCCAAACTGTGGAGACTCAGGGAGCAGGGGGTGACAGAGGAAGGGATTGGTTAGCTCATTTCCTGGCTCTGCTGGGGACCCTGAGGAGGGCTGGGTGCAGTTGAGGACATGCAAATAAACCCCTTTTAGGGGTCACAACCCTGGGCAACAGGGCACTGGGACCACCTGACTGGGGGACCCATGTAAGGGACACAGCATCCCAAAGCTGAGGCTGCTTGGCAGGGAAACGGGGCTGAGGGACAAGCCATTTCTGAACCACTTGTGTATGGTCCTGTTTCTGCCCCAGAAATTACAGCCAAGTCTTGAGGTGTTTGAAGAGAATGTCTTTGTCAGCTTGTCAAGTGAATCTGACAGAGGAGACTCTGAATCAACTGGTGGGAAACCGAGCACACAGTGGACAGCATGGGGAAAGTTTAATAAAGGGCCACTTACAGAGAGTGGGCACACACAACATACTGTGGTTGGTTCTAGCTCAGGAGCTAGCAACAGGACACCATTATTGTCGCCGCCCCCCCCCCCCAACCCTGGGGCCTGAAGGGGTGAGGGGAGGCAGCCATTGGAGAGTGCCAGCCCACTGTGACCAGGCTCCTCCATCCCGGGACACTTTCTGTTGTGTGTCACAGCCCTGGTCCTAATGTGACCTGCCTGCCCCCCAAGATTGTGTCTAGTGGACCAAGCTGGGGATCCACGCCACAGAAGGGCCAGCAAGTCCTCTTTGGGAATCCTGAGTGTGCGAAGCTACATCTATAAGATGGTCACTGAAGCACCTTCGGTAAAAGCTAAAACATGGACACAAACCAAATGTCTCCCTCAGGGGGCAGGGCACTTGGGACTCTGGTCCATCACGGGAAGGAAAACGGCAGCTGCTAAAGAACAAGTAGGTTCGGTGTGTGGAGAGGGCTCCTGCAGGTTGACAAGAATGCAGGCTGCCAGGCAGCATGTGTGGTGGAAGCTCATTCTGGTTAAACAAACAAGCCCACAACCATGGTTGTGCTGCCCAGGAATAGTCTGGGAGGATTCCCACCGCCATTAACAATGCTTACTTCCAGGAACAGGAGGGGGACTTTCAGTCTATATACAAAGCTTTGTAGTGTCTTGTTTTGGCTTATCACAAGTGTGTACATAATTCCTTTGTGTGATTTATATAAAGAAGTATTTTATAGCTATAAAAAAAAGACAGCTAAAATGTGAAGGGAGAATGAACAGAAAAAAGATGCCACGTTCTTCCCCAACCAGCATTTGGCAGTCGCTATCAGCCGATGAACGCCACTGGGCACTTGCAGTGTGCCAGGCACTGTATGGGGTACTGTTCAGGGCACTGACCAGAACAGCTGTTTGCAAAATGCTCACCTGAGAAGCAGGTGGGAAGTGCCCAGATGTGCCCACCTGCTTGTGGCATGGGGTGGGCAGGGATGAGCAGGCACCCACCCAGGGCCGCGGAGTGTGGGGTGGGTGGGGGTAGTCAATAGCTCCCACAGAAGAGTAAGATGAGGGTATAGAGAGAGCGGGCACTCTGGGAAGGAGCTGGGGAAGGGGTGCCTGGGTTGTTCCTTCTGGTTCTGGATGTGCAGGACAGGGTGGTGTAGGTGAGGAGCTTGCTAGACTCTGGAGGGCCTCTGATATCCTCAAAAGATACGTGGATGCCACCACAAAGGTCCTGAGAGGCACACACCCAGCATTTTCTTGTTTTCCAGGCCCTTCCTGTGTAGGCCGGAGGGAGAGAGGGATGGCAGGGCAACCGTGGACACCAGCTCAGCAGTGTCTGGGTGACCATTGCTGGTAACAGCAGGGCAGTGCCATGCACATTGGATGTAGTAGGAATTTACCTCAGGGGCAGCTGGGAAGCCTTCTTCCCATAGCACAGCTAGGGAAACTCATTGTCCAGGTGGGCCAGAGGGGCACGAATAGCCTATTCTGCACATTCTCACCCACTGACCAATAGGACAGGATCCCAGGGATCAGAGGCGAGCCAAAGATGACCCCTTGGCCAAACGGGGCCTGAGAGACCATCTTGTCCATCCTCCTCCAGAGGGGCAAGGCTGCTGAGGGATCCCATAAGTCTGTGGCAGAGGGACAGTGGACGATGAAGGCTGGGGCTCCGAGGCCCAGAACTTCAAGTCCTGTTGAGAACAGAAAAGTCCCAAGCAGGGATGACAGGTGGATTTTCCCTCATATGCTGACTTTGACAAGTCCTGCTTGCCTGGACCACTTAGATGAGAAGGATTCTGAGGCCAACCCAGGAAAGCTGGGAGAGTGCCTACATGGGCAGCTGATGTGTGCCGAGGGTAAGAGATAGTGGGGCACAAGTGTCTCATATCTGTAGTCCTGAGGCCTCTCAAGGCCAGGTGAATCTATAGGAGGGACTGGCCTTCCAGATGATCACCACAGTATACCCACAGCTGGGCAGTGAGAGGCTCCTGGGCAGCCAGAGCAGGTCTTTCCTGGCTCCTGACCTGCTAACGACAAGTGGCTGAGCTCTGGGGCTCAGCATGGTGCGTGGGCAGACACGGATGGCTTCCTATCACCCCTCCACGGTCATGGAAGGCACTGTCCATGCATGTGCAGGGAGTAGAGGCTTTGGATGCAGGCCCCAGCTAACAGCAACCCAGGCTGGAGGATGTCTTGCTCTCCTGGGTCTCGGGTGGACTCTCCTCCATTCCTGTAAGGTTGGAAAAAGTCACATGGCCTCAACTAAGCACCTGTAGCTGACACTGGGCAGCCTCCCTCCCCTGCCGCTGGTACCCTCTGGTGACTCCACTGGTCCCAGCTGAGCTTGACCTCCTGGGTCTCTCAATCAAGGCCCTGATTACCTGGCACAGGCTGAGAGGCCTAGGATGTATTCTAGGTGGCGGAACAGCACGGGCAGAGACACAGACTAGAAGAGCCAAAGCCCGGACACATCCATGCAGCCAGGGATGCCCAGCCTGGCTCATGAGGAAGCTGCTAGAAGGGCAAGGAGAGCCAGGGAGGGAGTCTCAGCTGGCAGGCAGGGTCAGGGAGGCTGTGGGCCTGAGGTCCGAGTAATGGCAAAAAGGATAGCCCAGAGAGGACAGCACAGGGGGACGAGTTAAGGGAATGGGCTCTTGGGACAGGGGGATGGTGGACATAGATTTTAGGCTGCAAGCCTGCTCCCCAGTCCCCACCCTGCTGTCTGTACGCACGGATGAGGTCTCCGTCGCCGACCTGGAGCTGGGCACTGCTCCTCCTCTCCAAGTCCTGCAGAACTGACTGCTCGAATGCCAGGGCAGCTACGCGGCTGAAGAACGCCTTCACATTCTCCCCTGTGGGCCCAAGAGACAGCCCTGACCCTGTCGCCTCTCCCCTCACCCACAAACGAATTTGTGAGCCAGCAGGTGCGGGAGCCAGGGTGGCCCGCCTGTGGGGCTTCCTGAGGCGGCACAGTGCAAGGGATGGGGTGGGCTGGCCCGGCCTCCCACCTCAGGGGGCTCTGGGGCCCCCTGCCCTGGCAGCTCCCTCAAATCTGAGGCTTGGTTTCCCAGCATCTACTCTTCCAATTATTCGCCACTGAACATCTCCTGTGGGCCAGGCACTGGGATGTGTGGAGATCAGAGGGTGTCTGCTCTCTTGTCACTTTTGAGCACCTGTCCAGTGAGCAGTTGTGAAGATTAATGTTCTGTCAACTTCCACATGGAGCCTTTGTGCATCCTCCTCCAGGTGGAGGAGGCCACCCACCTGGGCACAGGGCTAGATTCCAACTCCTGACATGCACATGACCCTTGTGCAGCTAACAACCTATACAACTGCTCAGGGCAATCCTGCTTGGCCCATAGGAGAATTCTCAATGAATGTGCTGTTACTCTAAGAGGGTGGGTTCTCATAGGCACGGTGGATGTTGTCAGGAAGGGGCAGAGGGAACTGGGCATGGCCATTGCCACACTCTTATCTGTGTCAGGCTGGAAGTTGTGCTTCCACCCGTGGTGCCTATCCCACCATTACCTCACCAAGTCCCTGGCCAGATGTTTACCGCAGCCCCTCACCCAGGGCAAGGACTACAAGGCATAATGCCTGAGTCCCCAGAGCTGCTGGGGCCTTCTATGAGTCATGCAATAACTGCATGTTATTTCATTTCATCACTGGCAACGACCTGTGTTTTTAAAGTGTGTCCTTTGCTTCTCTGCATTTTCTAACTTTTCCATCATGAATACACATGGCTTTTATAATTTAAGACAACATGTTTTTACAGTAAAAACAAGATGAGATAGAAAGCATCACCCATTTCTCAGATGAGGACACTGAGGCTGAGAGATGTTAGGCATCTTGCCAGGGCTGAAGTAAACAGTGGCTCATGGGTGAAGGTGACACAGGGACCGAGGGCTCACTGTGGCTGGGGCCCAGTGTGGCTAGAGGACAGATGGGTGGGATGTGGATGAGGGCCAGGGGGCCATGAGCAATGTTGCAGTGTCTTTCACGATGACACCCGGGGAAGGGGTGGGAGCCCCCAGTTACTGGACCCTTCTATGTGCCAGGAGGTACCTCTTACCCGGCTACTTCAGGTGGGGGGTGGGCAGAATGGTACAGTGGTTACAGGTGAGGGCTATATTCCAATCCCAGCCCTGTTACTTCCTCCCTATGACCCTGGACATGACCCACAGGGATAAAATGGATCTGACTCAAGGAGGGAGGGGGTTGCATTACAGAACACAAGCATAGGGCCAGGTGTCGCTATTCCTGTTGCCCATGGGGGAGGGCTCCTAGTCTGCCTTTAGGGATGGGAGACTCCTCTCAAGCAATGGAAGGCCCTGTATCGTCACCAGCACAGCTGGCTGTGACTCAAGCATTCCATAGAGACACAGAAGGAAGCTCTGCACGCACTGTGGCAACTCACCTGTCTTAGCTGACACCGACCAGTACTCCGCCCGCATCTCGCTGGCCAGGCGCACAGCCTCCACTTCTGCCTGCTCACATGCAGCCCCTGACTGGGAGAAGCAGCCCTCCTGACCCAGCTTTCCAGGCCCTCCCTGTGGGGAGGCACTTCCTACTGGGCCTCCTCCCTCCCCATGTCACCCTGGGATGGGCAGCCTCAGTGCACGGGTGGGGGTACACATTCCCAGGGGTGAGACCCCAGTGATCCCTCAGACAAGACAAAACAGGAACAGGGAACTCAGGTGCCCCTAACTTTCAGTTCCTGGCCTCCAAATCCCCATCTAGGCATGTCAGCACCACCCTCCATTCTTCAAGCTTAGGCTGAAAGTGGATGCATTTTCCCGGGCGCAATCCCAAGCCTCTAGCTCTGGCGTGCTCACCAGAAGGTCCTTCTTGGTTCCCACGAGGAACACAAAGCAGGAGCCTGGCTCGTTCTCCCTTAGTGCATCCTCCAGCCACTGCCTGGAATGCACAGAAGGAAGACAGGCTGAGGAGGGCATCTGTCTCCCTAGAGACGTCTGAAGAAGACCAGGGAATGGAGGGTGCAGACCTGGGTCCACCCCAGAGCTGGGAGCATTGAGCCTCCAGCTGCAGGGAGGGCACCTAGACCCAGCTGGCTGAGTGGGGCACTGGTCCTGCCACCAGCTGGACTGAAGGTGGGTGGGGATGCAAAAGCACTTGTCAGGGGAGGTGAAGACCCTGGCAGCGCCCTCACCCTGTGTCAGCTTGGATGAGTGCTGTCCTTTCATCAACTTAACAATCACCCCAGCCTCCCTCACGGGGTTTGGGAGAAGCTGGATATGAATGCCCCAAGCCCAAGTGAGGTGAAAGGACTTTGGTCAATTCCCAATTCCCAGCAGAAGCAGATGGCCTCCCAGAATTGGTCATGTTACCGGGTCTCCTGACTGATCTCTACCCAAGACAGCAAATACTATCCCTTCAGACAGGACTGGATATACATCATTTGTAGGACCCAGGGCAAAGTGAAAATGTGAGGCCCCTCCTCCAGCAATTATTAAAGCTTTCAAGATGGTGACAGCAGAGCATTAAAGCAAATGCAGGCTCAGGGCGCCTGGTGGGGCTCAGTCAATTAAACGTCCGACTTCAGCTCAGGTCATGCTTTCATGGTTTGTGAGTTCGAGCCCGCATCAGGCTCCCTGCTGTCAGTGCAGAGCCCCCTCCAGAAACTCTGTCTCCCTCTCTCTCTGCCCTTCCTCCATGCACACAAAATAAATAAGCATTAAAAAAAAAAAAAAAGAAAAGCAAAGGCAGGACCTTGTGAGTGCTGGCCCCAGTATGACTGGGCTGCCCGTGTATCCTGAACTGGCCCTGCCTTCAGCAGATGGATGCAAATTTTAAAGGATAATTTGGCAAATTGGACAGTAAGTGGCCTGTAGGCAGTCAGTTCTGACAAGTGAGCCTGGTCATGTGCACCCACCAATGGGGGCCCAGCTCGTGGGTGTTCCCAAACCCAAGAGGACCACAGGGGCCACAGAGTCCCAGACTTGCCTGGTGTGCTCCAGAGTCTGCACATCAGTGAGGTCAAAGGCTGTGATGATCACTGTACACACAGGGAGAAGCCAAGAGCAGGTCAGCAACAGGTGAGGCCAACATGGTGTGACCAGGAAGGGCTCCCCTCATGCAGCTCCCTGCTCCCCAGGAGAAACCCAGAGAGGAGCCTCGCTCCCACACAACTGCCAGAGTGGTCCCCCAGGCAGTCGGCTCTGGTCTCCACTATGGGGGCTGAGGAGGAGACACTTCCTAGCGGCCCCTTGGGACCTACCTACCCACCACCCTTTCCAACCCATATCCAGAGGTCCAGCCCCAGGGGTTATCCAGGGAGGCAAGATGAGCTCATGGGCTCCTGTGTTCAAAATTCTCTTCTGCCACTTACAGCTGAGGGAGCTCAGATGAGGGTTTTAACAGCTGAGAGCCTCAGTTTCCCCATCTGTGAAGCGGTGAGAATGATATCTCAGGCTATCAGGGTTGCCGTGAGGATTAAACAAGAACAGCTATTTTACAAGCTCTTGATCTAGGGCCTGATGCAGGGATTTTGACCAATGGCAGCTATGGCTATGAGGATAATTAGCAACACCAGCTTTAGGAAAACAATTTCTGAGGAGCAAGGTAGACAGAAAATTGGGAGATGCAGCCGCTGCCCCCAGGTGCCTCTCCTCAATGGCTCCGCCCTGGACCCGTTTTGTCCAGGGTGTCCAGGAGCCCGTTGGGAGTCCTGAGGGAAGCCCCATGTGGAGGACATTCCAGAGTGGCCCTGGGGAAGTGAGCGGGGCTGGGCAGAACCTTCCTCTGCACCTTGGCTGAAGGTTGTAGGAGGCCGCCTGAGGCAGAAAAGAATGGAAATGAAGGAGGATACTGAGGACCTTGATGGTGGTGGGCCAGGGTGCAGTTCCCAGAGGTGTCCCGGTGCCTCACACCTCATCCTCAGGGTGTGTCATGCCCCTGAGAAGACGTGCCAGTGCAGGAACTCCAACCCACAGCCAAAGTGCTCATGGTTTGTTTCCTGTTTCTGCTTTTCTCAAATCTCAAATGGAAACTTGTAATTTCTTTACACTAGTACTGAGTAGACATAATTGTGCCTCAAAACTTGAGCCTGGTTCTGGAGCCTGTGAGCGGTTCTCATGTCTCCCATTGAAACCCCTTTTCCTGGGAAGCTGGGGTTGGAGTGGGGAGCTTATGCTGCTGCCTACTGCCTGGGAGGCCTGCCCAGTGCCCGGGCCACCCCCACTGCCCCCCATCCACAGGTGCAGTCCTCCTGTGGCCCTGCCACTCCTCCCCTCCAGCCTAGCCTCCCTGCACCTCCTCCAGGAGTCGACTATGCTCTTTTCTTTTTAGGGGGTTTCTAGACATGCATCTCCCTCTCTGAGCATCCTTCTGAGCTGAAACTGGCTGAGACTCACAGGGAGCAGCCACCAGCACAGGGTCCCTGAAGGATGTGACTGCGGAGGCCAACCACAGGCCGGGCTGGCTGGAAGACAGTTTCTTCATCCCAGAGGACTGACCAGGAATTTTCTCAGTGGTTCTCGGAGGACAGATTTGGTGTCTGCGTGGAGGACCTGGACTTCTTGTTATAAGCCCAGTGGGAGCCTCCTGCTGTACGTGGTTGAGGGCCCCACCATTGCCATCACCCAGATGCTCACCCTGGGCACCCCGGTAGTAGGCAGATGCAATGCACTTGAACTTCTCCTGCCCTGCTGTGTCCCAGCTGTGTGGTGGCAGAGACAGAAAGGGAAACAGAGAGGTGGCAGATTAAGCAACTGCAGTGGTCTGAGCCAGCAGGCTAGTGGGGCTGTGGGTGGGCAGGCCTGAGGGCCCGTCCCAGCTACCAGCCAGTAGTCCCCGCCCACCAATTCCTCATGATCTCTTCCTAAGGTGCCCCATGGGGGAGCTTCCTGGCTGGATTCACCATGCCAATGGAGGAGGGGCATGGCCCAAGTAGTTCTACTGCCTGGATAAATGGAGTTGTAGCTTAGTCCCTTTGGACGATGCCATTAAAAAAGAGAGTATGTTCCCTGATATGCTTGCTCTGAAGTTGTGGAAATCCACCTGCAGGGGAGGCCCTGTGAATGGGAATGGGGCTCCAGGCTAGGCTGCCAGCTATGGATCTGCCCTTGCTCATGTGTGGCTGGGCCATGGCTTCAACATTCTGTACTGCAGCAGAGGGTATGCTCAGGTTTCTGGGTTGGAAGGGTGGGAGTATATAACAGGGACATGGTTTGCATCTCCTGGGTGACTCTGAGCTCTGGCTCTCTGGAGGGGCACAGCCCTGACTTTATGGAAAAGAATGCAACAATCGATTAATGATGTCTGCCATGAGCACACTATAGGAGAGGGGGACACCCATGCTGAGATCTACTTGCTCTGGTTTAGAACCAGACAGGTAATCAATATGCAAGCCTAAACCTGAAAATCCATTCCCTTTTAAAAATAATAGATTGGGGTGCCTGGGTGGCTCAGTCGGTTGAGCATCCGACTTCGGCTCGGGTCATGATCTCACAGTCCATGGGTTCAAGCCCTGTGCTGACAGCTCAGAGCCTGAAGCCTGCTTCGGATTCTGTATGTGTGTGTCCCTGTCTGCCCCTCTCCTGCTCATGCTCTGTCTCACTCTGTCTCTCAAAAATAAATAAATGTTAAAAAAAATAAATAGATCAGAATTTAACTCTTCAGCAAATGGAAAAGTAGACAAGCCATGAATAAGACCTCAAAAGTCTGAAATGTTTTCATGTGATTCAGCATGACGCAGAACATTTTGACTCTATTCTTTCATTAATTCATTCATATTGTCTTTCATTTCTGAAGATGACTCTGGATGGGAAGCTGGAGGGTGGCCTGGAGGTGGGGCCAGATGGATAGCTAGCAGTGGCTTCAATGTAGGACAATAAGAAGCCAAGCCAGGACAGTATCTGTTCTAGTTAGATGTGGCCAGTGGCCACAACGGGGAGCCCAGCACAGGCCATTCTCTGCACGGCTCCACCTAGGCTGCCCCATCAGCTCTGTGCTCCTCAGCTCTCCTGGCTCCAGAGCCCCTTGATCCCACAGCCCTGCATTTTCACAGCCTCTTCTGCTCTGGTCTGGCCCTGTACTCTCCCTTGTGCAAGATTCAGCAGTGCCACCTGTATCACTAGGGATGCACTGGGGCTGTCCTCAGGGAAGCAGACATTATCATGACAGAGTTAGGAGCTGAGGTCTATGAGAGGGTGACCTCCATCTTGATGACCATAGATTCCCCGGCTAAGCCCAAGCAGGGCATAGAGGATGGAGAAATGAAACCAGAGGAGCAGGGGTGAACCCCAGGGAGAGAGAAAAGAGAAGGGGACCAGGACAGAGGCAGTAGGCAAGAGGAGGTATAGGAGCAGCTGGGCAGAGAGCATAGAATGTGCCATGCAGGGCAGCCTGGAAGCGGGGAGGAAGCCACACAGGAGAGGGTAGGGCTGGTGACACAGAGAGGCCTGCAGTATCCTCCAGGTGACAGAGGAGAAGGAAGGTAAGGTCCAGAGCTCTAGTGGGAAAGTGTGAGGCTGGGGAAAAGACTCTGGGCTGTTCTGACGGAAACTGGAGGGAGAGGCTGAAGCCAGTGGGTCACTGAGAGGCAGAGACATGGGGTCTGGCAGGGAAGCAGACAGACAGAGGGAGATGGAGCAGAGCGAGGGCAGGGGGTGGGGGTGGGGGGTGGTACATCAGGCCTGAGGAAGGCACATGGACTAGGTGCCTTTTGGCTCCATTTTCCAGATGAGAACAGATGCTCACAGGCCTGAGGTGACTGGGATCACCAGGGGCCAGGCAGACCTGGACCCGGAGCCAGAACCTGAGGGGTGGGCATTAAGAGAGAATGAGGGTGAGTAGGCTCATTGGTCTGTGAGGCCTTTCCCAGGTCTGATGACCAATGTGAGACACCCATGGGGACTGAGGGAGTATACAGGGCCTCGGGGAACTGGAGAAGTCCAGTTTCACATAACTGTTCCTGTTTGTCCAGACAGGTCCTCACTGGGCACCACAGGGCACAGTCAACAAGGAGCTTACCAAGGCTTTCCCCAAGGGTCTCCTCCGCAAAGCCCACCCATGAGCCACACAGGAAATGCTGTGACATGATGGCGACTTACATTTGGAGGCTATAGGGAATCCCAGCAATCTCAAAGCGCTCGATTTCAAAGTCTACCCCAATGGTGGCCTTGTAGTCACGGTCAAAAACATTCTTGCAAAACCTGCGGGAGTTGAGGGAGTAATCAGAGAGGCTGTGTGTGGAAGCTTTGCTCACAACAGCCAAAGTCTGCAGGCAACGAAAAATTCACCCTGTAGGGAATATAAGGAGATGATGGTCCACAGGGATAGACCCTAGATGGATGGAGCTGCCAACAAGAGCTTTGTGGGGGTGGAGCAGCAGCCTGGAAGGCAAACACTGCAGGTCAGGGCCAATGAGGTATGAGCCCCTGGTCCCAGGGTATGGTGTCATGAATGCCAGGCTCCTGGGATGCTGCGCCCTCCTCCTCCTGACCTGCCACTCCCTGGTTCCCTGTACCCCCTCTGGAGACATGGTTCCCATCAGCCAAGCAGTTTTGACTACGACAAAGTTATATGGGCCTCCCAGGCAAAAGTGTGACAACCGGTGCTGGGAGGTGTGGCGGCAGGCATACCTGTGGATGAGGCTGGTCTTGCCCACGTAGAGATCGCCAACGACAACCACCTTGGAGAGTCTGAGCCTGTGAGGGATATGGGTGTGTTGCTCTCAAGCTTGGCCACAGAGCATCTTCACACATATGGGCCCTTCCTTCCCTGAGCTCCCCACTCATGAACCACCCCTCAATCCTTGACAGGGGACAGGCCACCTGCTGAGACACTCTGGGATGTCTAGCCCCATCCCTGGTATTCAAAGGGGAGGGCAGGAGGGCCTGCATTTGTTCTGGGGACTCTGCCGTTTCTGGGGCCATACCCTTGTGCCACTGGGCGAGGCTCTGTCATGAGGATAAGAATTGGGCATGATGAGAGGCTGAGTCTTGGGCTGACGGGGTGGAGGGAGGAGTCCTAGGTGGTGTGATTTACAAGCTGGGGGTGCAGTAAGGAACCGGGAGCCACTGATGCAGACATAACACCCATGTGCAGGGAATAAAGGCATGGGGGAAGAGAGCCCCTGCATGCTCATACCCACCCCTGGGGCTGCATGGGCTCTTGCTCTTTGCAAGCAGGTGCTCCCTGACCAGGACACCATGGCCACCAACTGCCTTGGAGGTATCTGCAAGGTCCAGGCAGGCCCCAAGAGGTGAGGAGTGGACAGGAGTCAGACCAGGACACGGCACCAGGCTGTGGCTTGAGGCCAACCGGCTCTGAAGTTCTTGGGCTCCCCAGGGACCCTGCTCACTGAGAACAGCCACAGCCTCAACCTGTGCGTGTCCTGCACTCCCTGCGGCAGCATGCCTGGGACTCCTGGTGATACTTTAAGTTTCTGCAGCTCGAGCCACAGGAGCTCAATGGGCAAACATCTGACCAGGCACTCCCTCTGCCGGCAGACTGCGAGAAGGCACTTGTGTCACCTGGTGACCCGGTGCAGCTCCCCTGGTCATGTCCGAGAGTGCAGCGGCTGTGTCTTCTCTGCTCCCAGCTGGCTTCTAGTTCTGGAGCAGGGCGGCCCTGACTCCACTTCCCAGATGAAGGAGTAAAGGTACTGCTGAGGTACTGTGGGGGTACCCACCGTGCCTCAGTTTCTGCACGTCCCAGAGCTGTTGTTAAGGGTCAGAGAGGTCATCTGCGTGAAGCACCTTATAAGGAACCAGTACGTCCTAACTGGTGGCCAATGCTCTCAGCCCATGACCATGGCTGCTTTGGCTATTCTGACCTGAGTGAAGCCTCACCTTGTGCCACCTTGGGAACCTCAGTGCTGGGTGTCCGCTGCCACCTCACTACACCGTGCGACACCTGTGAGCTCAGCGGACTGCCTGAGCAGACTGTGAGCTCCTCAGGAGGAGAGGCAGAAGCAGGCCCTGGTCCCTGTGTGTCAAGAAGAGTAACTGCTAACTCCCTGTGCTGGCAGAGCTGGCTGCTGCCAAGGCAGGAACGAGGCGGTGCCAGGCGCTACAGGAATGAGGTGGTACCAGGTGCTGCCGAGGAGGGAACAGGACAGACATGGCCCATGCCCTCACAGGCTAGGTCTCGTGAGGAATCCAGATAGACAAACTCGGAATTCTGTGAGCTAAGTCCTTGGGACCCAGAAGCACACAGGCGGGGCACCCCACCCAGCCCAGGCTGGGGAGCAGGGGTGATGGGGGACTCCCCTGACACTAGACTGTGAGCTGAAAGAGTAGGAAAGACATTCCAGACAGAGCAAGCAGACATACACGGAGAGAGACCTCAGGCTGAAAAGTCATGGCGCAACTTACTGAGAAAAGGGAAAGCTGTTCTCTATGGCAGAGGTGGGTCAAGCAAAGCCAGATCAAAATCCCCATCAGCTCCAGGCCTGTACTGGGCTGCACAGGTGTCATCTCTGTGTTTCATTTGTTCGTTCATACATTTATCCATGCATTCATTCCTTCTTGCCACCTCCTCACACATCCTGCACCCCCTGGCATGTGGGGTCACTCACCCGACAGTCCCCGTGTTCCTGCTCTGGCAGGTGCTGCTGACCTGCCCGTGAAAGTGCTCCTTGAGCTGCAGGCAGGCGTCAGGGGTGTACCACTGGAGAAAGACAGACAAACAGGTGGGCACTGTACCCTGTGAAGCCACGGCTCCATCACCAAGCAGGGCAGCGAGGTGGTGACTTGTTTCCCAGCATTCTCTCCTGCCCCAGCCTCGAACCTCCAGCTTCATTAGCTTTCTCTGATCCCTCTGTCACATCTGTCTTCTATCCCATCAGTGGCCCTGAGGCTCCAGGGTCTTGTTGAGTCCTGAGGAGCAACAGCAGAGGCCAGGCCAGACCAAAGGACCCGGGTGGTGACTTGGAGAGCTGGGTCTAGCCTGGGGCAGCTGTGCCTTTGCTGTGGGCATTTGGCAGATCTCTGTCCTCTCAGGGCCCCTCAGGGTGAGATGAGGGGTGGGCTATGAGGGCCCTTTTAGCCTCCAAGGTCCTTCCATACTTTCTACAGATCTTGGGTGCCATTTTTCTTTAAAAATATGCATATGTGCACATGGGAAATGTCCTGGAGGGCTCTTTTCATCTTCCACATTTCTTGGAAGGCAAAACTGGGCTATGGTTTAAGAGTACGATCTCTCTTAAACAGGAAGAGGAGGACCTGTGTCCACTCTTAGCTGCTGTGTGATCCCAGACAGCTGTCTAATGTCTCTGAACTTTAATTTCCCCATCTGTTAAGACCTCAGAAGCCTGGAGGCATAGAATGAAATAATGTTGTAAAGCCATCAGGGCAGACCCAGCCTGGCACATATTAAGCGCTCAGCAAATGTTCACAGCTATTAAGAGGTCATGACACATGTTGAGTGAACTTTTGTTTTATAATTGGAAAAGACGATATTAAACAAGCTGAAGGTGACTGTTATGTTTTACTCTCAGATTGGCGGAGGCTAAGGATGGAGCGTGGTTAAGGACACGGGGAGAAGGGCATCGTTGGAAGCTGTTGGTGTTCTCTGCCATGATATGGCAGTAGTCCCCTGGGCCGCCCTCTGTGTCCTTCAGAGGGGCACTGCTTGGACCCACAGCTCCCCTATGGCAAGAGTTCCACCTCCTCCCTTAGCCCTAGTATTTCTTCTGCGTTCCCAGGCACTGAGATGGGCTCTTCCCTGGCCCATGTGCCCCCACAGCTCCATGTGGGACAGAGGAAGCAGGGACAGTGGAAGGAGCTTTACAAAAGGGTAAGTCACAACATCTCAGTAGGCCCGTTTCCTCATCTGTAAAGTGGGAATACTCATAACAGCACCTCTTCATATGGTCGTTGAAGGATCAAAGGGGTAATGCAGGTGAACAGCTTAGCCCTGTGGCCCACATTCATGTGGAACAGTGTCAGCTACTTTAGGAGAAAGCTGGCTGCTTTTTCTTGTCGACTTCCATGTCGGCTTCAAAACAGGGGCCAGCCTGGCCAAAGTGGTCATTAGAGGAATCCCACCATTTTGGATACACTGAAGAAATGTAATAAGGAAGACTGGGCAGGAAGCGTGGGCTGATTTTGGATACAGGGAAACTGAGGCACAGAGTAACAGGAGTTACTGACCATGAATTTCTCAGGTGTGAAATGGTGTGGCCCTGGGATACAAGATGAAATGCCACAGATGGGAGTGGGGAGAATATTACCCTCTGTGAAAACACGATGGATGCCCCAGGGTAGGGGAAGGTTGGAGCTCTGGAGTCAGACCCATATCAAGTCCTGGCTCTGCCACACCCAGCTGTGTGATGCCAGGCAGCTCTCCCTACCTCTCTGAACCTTGTTGGTCTTCTCTGTAAATGGGGTCCTCTGTCCCTGAACTGTTTTGTGCCCATCACACTTCCCTTCCTTTTGCCTCATGAAACATCTGTGTCCATCATCCCTGGTTACCACTGTCAAGCTTTCTAGGGAAGCAATTGCCTGGGCTTCTGTTGAGATGGAAAATTCTGGGGGAATTGTCCACAGATCTGAGGCACCACAGCTTTCTCTGTGGGTGTGTAGAGGAAGAAAAGGTGAGAAGATATGGTTGCAGACCCAAATTACCCAAAGTCCTACAGCCAGCTCCTTCCTTCTTACCAGTCTGGGCACAGAACTCAAGAAAAGAGGTCACTCTACAGAGAGGAATTTTCCCTCCATGCCTGTCCCAAGTCACATGGAGGCAACCACTGACAGCAGCATCTCATGTGTCCTTCCAGAGGTATTTTTGGCATGTACAAACACATACATTTGTTTTCTCCCCTCTCCTTTTTTCCACCCATTGAAGTACACTACACACTGTTCCCTTCCTTGCATTTTACTTAATTGACTTTAGCCATTACTGCACATCGGCTCCTGAAGGGAAGGAAGCCTCATTCTTCCTCATGTCTGTTAGGAAGTAGCATTTTGCTGTTGAAGCAGCCCCCTCTGGAGGACATTTACATTGTGTCTGACCTGTTTTACAAATTGCTTCAATGCCTGGCCTTGAATGGCTGGATCAGAAGGCAGGGACAGCACAGAGGTGGGAAATACTGTCTCACTGCCCCCTACAGGGGTTGTACTGATTTGCATCCCCTGATGCAATTAATACTGGATTTTAATACACATGGCAGAGAGCTGTGGGTTTTCAGCAGGAACCAAGCCGAATGGTAAAGAGGGATACCCCCGGATTTGGTTTCAGGAAACTAGAATACTATTTTGATAACAGTAGTAATAATGAGAAAGGCAGAAATACCCACAACGTGGGTAAGGGAGCTCCCATTTACCAAGAGCCAGGCACCCAGTGTGAGAGGAGTTATCCTTATGTATCAGCAGCTGAGAGGTTGAGTGACGTGCTCACAGTCACACAGTCAAATGACAGAGTCAGGATTCACACCCAGGACTGTCTGACAGCAAAGTCTGTGCCTTTAACCTCCATGCCACCCTGTCTCCTGGTGTCACCCTTAACTTGCTGGTCCACTTTGGGAGAGTCAACACCAAATCTCCCTGCTTCTCTAAACTCTGGTAAGTTCCCAGGGTCTGTTAGTGAGGGACTGACCTCCTAGGCTCCTGAGCTTTGTTTCCAGTGATGAATGCAGGTGGGGAAATGTGGATTTGGACATGAAACACACATAAAGGGCTGGCCTAATGACTCTCTACCTTAGGGAAGCTGGTGATGATGCGGTCCCGGCTCACAGGTGGCCCCAAAGGCGTCAGGGAGGACCTCATCCTTCCAGAATGTCCTGTGGACTCAACCAGGGGAGAGTTAGGGAGCTGTGCAAAACCCTGGGGACTCAGCCTCAAGTTTATGTTTAACTTCTCAGCAGCTTTAAACATTGATCCTGGCCTCCTTCTCAGTCAGGGATACCGGCCAGAGGTCATCTCTTTCCATCTGCAGACAGTATGGTTGGGGGTGGGGGTGGAGGGGACCAGGCTTTCCTAGTCCTGCCTGGGAGTCAGGAAGACCTGGGTCTCCTTCTGCCAGGTATCCAACCAGGAGAGGAGAGGTTGCTCTCTGAACTTATCACTGGGGTGCGAGTGAGGCATTGCACAAACGCTGAGCTGTGCATCATAGCCCAGGTGGAGGAAGTGGAATTGGGGTGGGGAGGGGTGGTCCCTTGCTCCTAGTCTCTAAGGGATTAAGGTTTGGGTCGGGGGCGGGGGAGGGGGTGTTTAGGTTTCAGCCCACAGGCGTTTCCCTGTACCCCCTCACCATGCCCAGCGCCTGGCCCCTCAAGCCTATTCAACAGTCCTGCATCTTCTGTCTTCCCCCTTTCCCCACGAGGGTGGCCTTGGCCGAGGCCTTAACCAGGCCTATCGTCCTCCCGGATCTGTTCTGACTGTCCTTCAGGACCAACACGGGCCTGGCCCGAGGTGGGCGCTCAGGGAATGAGGCCCCGGGGCTGCAGGCCTCGGCTTTAAGGTTACCTCGGTGAGAGGTGGGCGGGGACGCGGAGCCCTCCCAAATAGGGCCTCCGGGATAAGCCCCTACAGGGGCGAACGAGGTTGGGGCAAGGGTATGGCGGACTCACCCACGGAGGTTGCGAAGGCTCCAGAAGCTTGGTGACCTGGTCAGGCTGGGCCCCGGGCAGCGATCACCATGGCAACGAGCACCACGCGAGACCCGCCGGCTTCTGACGAATCCAGGGCGTCGG